TCCAAAGAATAAGGAGAAGAAGAGAAGTGACAAAGAATGGAAGAAAGCTCAACTTAATGCCAAGGCCATGCACATGTTGTTTTGTGTATTTGGTCATGAAATCTATGAAGGGGTTTCTTCATGTTCAAATACCAAGGAGCTTTGGAATAAGCTCGAGGAAATCCATGGGAACAAGAAAGAAGAACCAACAAAGGAGGTGTCTCTAATGGCTCGTGAAGAGCCCAAGGTATCTTCTAACTCAAATGAATTTAATTCATATACGTTTGATGAGTTACAAGATGCTTTTAATAGGTTATATTCGGAGTTTGAGACCATGAACTCTAAATATAAAAAAATGATTTCAAAATTTAAAATCGAAAATGATTTTCTTTTGAAAACAAAAATAGATTTTGAAAGCCAAAATGAAATTTTGAAAAAGGATTTAGAGCTTTCAAAAATAAAAATTGAAAGTTTTGAAAAATAAAATTTTGATTTAAAAGTTAAGCTTGAATGCTTAACAAAAGAAAAAGAAATCATTTTAAATAATTCATTTAGTTCAATAATGACAATATGCTCACATTGTCATTATCATGGTCATAAGGAACATACTTGTCCTTTGAAGAAAGGAAATCATTTTAAAATTAGACAAGTATGGATTCCAAAAGGAACAAGGGGCATTGGAACTAACGTCCAAGGATCCAAAGCAATTTCGATACCAAAATCGAAATGAATGTCTCTTGTAGGTGTGTGGGAGCAATGGTGATGAAGATGATGATATTCAAGATGCTCTAGCCACACATGAAAAGGAATGGGTAACCTCTAAGCTTAATGTTTTTAATTTTAGTTATTTGGTTGCTCATATGATTTATGCATGCATGAGTTTTGATTTTAAATGATTATGCATTGTTTTTAATCTCGTGTATGTTTAAAAAAAATGGTTATGATGAACATTTTAAATTTTTAATAATTTTTTTTGGTTCATCATAATAAAATTTTGGTCAAAACTGGTTTTAATGCAAATGATATCTCTCTAACAATTGATATCAATTTTTCAAAAACTTTGATTTTACAAATTTTCATTTTTTTTACCTAAATTTAAATGTTTATGCATGTGATTTAAATGAAAATGATATCTCTCTAACAATTGATATCAAAATTTTCAAATGTATAACATTTTTGGAAAACTTTATGCATATGCACTTAATTTCAATAATTAATATTGCATAAAGTATTTTAGACTTGGATATATTGAATTTCTTGTATTACTAACATGTTTTTTATTTTTTGTTGAAATTCAATTTTGTTTAAGTGTCATGATCCTAAAAGCTTAATTTTGTTTGGAATGCATTTATTGAGGGGGGAGCTTTGATTTTTCAAATAAGTTTTAAAATGTCAAATTTACTACTTACTCTCCAAAGTTATTTTGAACTTCAAATATTGAATTATTTTTTATATAACAAAAAGGGGGAGAAGTTTTGGTTTGAAAAAGATTTGAAAAATTCAATTTCTTAATGATAAAGGGAAGCAACATTTTCATATATTTTCAAACAATTGGTATTTGTTACCAATTGGTATCTTTTTCATTAAACATTTTATTAAGGGGGAGTTTTGCCAAAAATAATTTTTCAAATGTTTTGTTATATCAAAAAGGGGGAGATTGTTGAACTATGTTTTGATATAACAATTTAAGGCAAAATGGTTTTTGGACTTGAATTGAATTTACAAAATGTTTTTGGACTTAATTGAATTTATTCAAAGTTTTAAAAGGTTTCAAAAATAATTCAAAGTCCATTAAACTCGGATTTGAGCCAAAATGCTAAAGGGTGTCAAAGTGCATCCATGCACCCCTGCAGTGCATCCATGCATCCCTGCAATGCATCCATGCACCCCTGCAGTGCATCCATGCACCCCTGCAGTGCATTCATGCACCTGCACTAGTGCATCGATGCACCATGTAGTGCATCCATGCACTCAAACACCGAATGCAATTAGTGCATCGATGCATCAAGGCTGTGCATCGATGCACGAAGGCTGCAACGACTAGCTTATTTGAATTTAATAAAGGGGTATCGATGCACCTTGATAGTGCACCGATGCACCATGTTATGGGCAGCCTTTTTGAGTAGAAAAATCATCCCCAAACGGCTCCAAAACATCCCCAACGGCTATATACAACATCAAACACATTCCAAGCTATAAATACAAACTAAGGACACTTGAAGAATAGAGAGAACAACTATCCAAGCAATTAAACACAAGAGAAAAGTTTTTCATTCTTATTTCAACTTTCTCTTGTAAATATTTTGTTCTTGTGAGCTCAATCTTGTAAACACCTACCTTAGAGAGGTTTTCTTGTTTACTTATTTTATCCTTTTATAAAGGGGAAAGGTTCTAGCTTATCTCGTGTAAAAGCTAGGGAAAGGTTCTAGTTTAGCCCGGAAAAACTAGGGAGTTGTAAGGTTATCTCTTTGTCCTCAAAAGAAAGAACAAATTAGTGAATTTGTTGGAAAATCCTTGGTGATGAGCTAAGGTAGTGGACGTAGACTTTGGTTTAGAAAGTTGAACCACTCTAAATCATTGTGCAATTTTCTATCTTTCAATCTCCTTACTCCCTAAACTCAAAAACCGTTCCGACCCCTCTTTGCAAACCGTTCCGGTTGTCGAATCGAGCTTCCGAAAATCCCAACAGACTCGAAGCGACACAATTTGCTCGAGAGTAGATTTCAACTTCACGACGAAGGATATATAGCTCGAAGCCAAACTTCACAATAAAAGGCCACCTGCGATTTCAACTCCACGACGGAGGATATCGTACCCACACATCCACGAATTCAACTCCACGACGGAGGATATCATGCCACTCAAGAAAACACAAGTTCAACTTCACAATGAAGGGACGGCTGGTTGTCAACAAACAACTTCCCAATTTCAGAGTCAATTTCAACTTCACAACGAAGGATATTAGACTCGAGATAGCACAAACTCAACTTCACAACGAAGGGGCGGCTGACTGTCAACAAACAATTTCCCAATTTCAGAGTCAATTTCAACTTCACAACGAAGGATATTAGACTCGAGACAGCACAAGCTCAACTTCACAGCGAAGGGGTGGCTGACTGTCAACAAACAATTTCCCAGTTCCAGAGCCAATTTCAACTTCACGACAGAGGATATTGGACTTGGAGCAATACAACTTACTTGGATTTCAACTTCACGACGAAGGATATCCAATTACCAGGCTCAACTTCACGACGAAAGGGCCACCAGCGGTTTCAACTTCACGACGAAGGGAATCGTACACATAAGCAACATCCATCTCTAGATTGGATTTCAACTTCACGACGAAGGATATCCAGCTTAAAAAAGGAGTGTCTGTTAATAAACTTTCCAGTTTCAGAGTCAATTTCAACTTCACGACGGATGATATTGGCCTCGAAACAACGCAACTTACATTGGATTTCAACTTCATGACAAAGGATATCCAATTCCCAGGCTCAGCTTCACGACGAAGGGGCCATATGCAATTCCAACTTCACTAATAGATTGACCCAACTTCACGACAAAGGAGTCATCTGTAACACATCCATACCGAAGTCTTCAGGTCAAGTTTCACCCTCACAACGAAGTATCTTGAACCAGAAGACGATCCAGGAGCCACTTTCGATTTCAACTTTACAACGAAGGATATCGTGCTCAGATTTTTCAATTTAACTCAACCCCACGATGAGGGAGTCGTTTCACGATTTAATTTAAATATCGGATTTAAACTCCACAACGGAGGACATTCGATAAGGACTAAATTTGTATCTTTTAATCTTTTCCCTATTTTGTTACACGATAATGGGCAAAGAGGGGAAGATGTGAACACACTATTTCGTCCCATCCTCATATCACACATTTATAATATATGATATATATATATATATTTATTTATTTGTTATTTCATTACATTTTTTTTCTTCTCTACAGATCCAAATAACAAGTGGCGGCCCAGTAGGTAGCCCAAGTCCCGAACTGACCCACTGGATAACCCACGTCAATTAGGGTTGTTAAAACCCTAAACCTACTCCCCTCTACGCCGCAAGAAACCCACGAAGTCCCCTGGTTCATCACGCCTTCCTCATCCGCACTTCACGGATCCAACATCCCCGTCCTTCTCGACAGCAAGTATCGTGAGTGTATGAGACTCCAACCTCGAATCGTCCGACGTACGTAGAGAGTCACCAACCAACACAACAACAATATTAGTGTTTTATTCGATTGTAAACACATAAAAATAGAATTTTTATTCCTATAAATGGATGTAATCAGAACCCATTGTAACAACAGATTTTTTGGGGATACGAAATACAAGCAAAGATTTTGAGCAAATCATAGCCAAAACAACAGAACGTTCAAGGCATTTTTTTAGCAATATTTCGAGAGGAAATAAGGTAAAAAGACTCACCTTTTTTTTGGCTTGCATGTATCGATTTTCAGTCAATTTCAACTTACTCGTTGGCTTGGCTTGGCTTGGCTCATGGTCATATGTGTCTTTGACAGGTTTATGATTATTTTATAATTTTGGATAATTTTTTTTCATCATCCAAATCAAAACAAAATATTTGCTCTTTACATATATATCTTTCTTCTCAAAGTTTTTTTTTCTTTTCTTTTTTAGAGTATGAGAAGAGCAATACCACCATTTGTCCATTCCGATTTTTATGTATATAAATTTTCGGAGAGATCGTACTAATCTTGAAGGATGATCACATATTGCAACAATTACATACATCGAGGTGAATTCATTTCTAAAATAGTGATTAATACCACGACACAATTAGTTGATTCATTGTTTATTTATTTTATCATTGTCCAGTCAATACTAACTATTTTATTTTGCAATTTCTATTGTTATCTGTTTAAGGTTAATTCAGTTGATTGAGATTTGAGCCATTTCAGTGAGGACTGACCAACGATCCATTGCGTTTCAGGTTAAAGACTTCATATTGACATCAAAGACAGTAAAAAAAATCAAAGGGTTTTGAACTTGAGAGCATTTTATTCTTGTAGACTATATAGATACAGAGTAGAGCGTTTCACTATCCACTCCTACATAAATATCAGAATGCACGCTGCTTTTGCAGTGGTAAGTTGGACAAGCATTGGCTGCTTCAGCAGCCGAAGTCATACGGCACAAGTCCTTTCAGCTCCGGCCCGTTCAACCTCGCGTTGTTCGCATAGCTGCAACAAGAACAATGGATTCAGTTAGATCCATAATTATGACATCAAAATGAAATATGCAGATGCACATATGATCGTCGATATGAATGGTACCTCGGCATGGAAAACATTGCGAAAGGACCGTCAACCGGTATAGTTCCGCAGAGATCATTATTGGAAACATCACTGAGTTAATCATATAAACATTTCTTGTTAAAACAAGATAAAGGAATTCGGATTTGTTCTTTCTTTCCTCTCATCTGAAACTTACAATACTTTAAGGTTTGAGAGGGCGGTAAGCTCCCTTGGAATGGATCCTGTTAGGTTGTTGTTGTTTAGACGACTGTACAATACGGTATAGATTCAAGCACACAAAAACAACATAAGAGAATTGTTAAAGTGAACTATTAGATTGATAAATGTTAAGTTACATACAGAAATCGCAGCGACTTCAGTCCGGCGAAAGACTTTGGAATTTCTCCTTCGAACTCATTACCATACAAATCCATGCCAACAAGGGCCTTGAGATTGCCTATCTCTTTCGGAATTTTCCCTCTTATGTTATTTCTGTATAGCTCCCTGCAGAGATCCATACATTTTCCACCCAATGACTAATATTAAAAGCGATTTAAGTGGTAAATGAAAATGTTCGGGCAAAATTACAAAGGTATTACAAGTACTGCAGATGTTGGAGTTGACCCAGCTCAGGCCCCAAAGTCCCAGAGATATTAGAGTTGCCCAAGTCCCTGTAATTGAAAGAAAACAATGGAGTTCAGCATCAATCAAGGCTATACATTATATTGTAAACATGGTTTTCAGAACCGAACCGGTTAGCGAACCGATCATGTTATCGGTTCACTGGTTCAATCGGAAGAATCGGTCCGACCGGTCAGAAGAACCGGACGATGTAATAATTATTTAAAAAAATTAAATAAAAATATCAAAAATATTTAATAAAAAATAATTTTTTATATTACAAGTCATATTTAAAGCAAATCATAACATATATAAGTTAAAAATCATAAAATCAAGTGAAACAAAATGATTCAAATTAATTACAATATAATATTTAAGGTAAAACATATTAAATAATAAATATAATTATATAACTATAATTAAAAAATAAATTTGCGGTTAAAAAATCATAACAAAATAATATTGTTTGGTTTAATTTTTTTAAAAAAACAATCCCACATGGCTAGCCATAAACATAGAAGAGCATCCCAAAAGTCTAAAGAGTAAAAATATGAGAACAAAGCAATCTCACATGACTAAGAAACATAAAAGAGCATCTCAACTAACTTCTATAAATAATAAAAGTAATTTGGCATTCAAAATCATATAGCATTTTGGTGAGCATTGAGTGAACTATTTTTTCACTTTAATAAAGCTCGAATTTTAGGCTTCAATCGAGCTTCTAATTTTTTTTTAGTTCAAGACTTTTCGAGTTCAAGTTTCAATATTATATTTCGAGTTCGAGTTAAACTTGATAATTTTTAGCCCGTGAGTTTGAGTCGAGTTGAGTTTACTTTTAAAGTTTTCAAGTTCGAGTCGAGTTCAACAATACTTGAGTTCGACTTGGCTCGTTTAACAAACAACGTCGTTTGGTTTAATTTTTTTAAAAAATAAAAATAAAATTAGCGGTTTTTTTTTTGTTTTTTCCAATTTTCAGCCGGTCTGGTTCGAACGGTTCAACGATTTCAGCCGGTTCACTAGTAACGATTCAACCGGTATAAATTGAATCGGACTAAATAACGATTCTCGGTTGAACCGGCCGATCCGGTCCGATTTTAAAACCAATGATTGTTTGAACAAAAAAAAACCAGAAAATATAGGGCATTTTTTCTAATATATACAGAAGAGGACAAAAAAATGAAGAAATGGAGAGGAAATCTTACAAACGAATGACACGATTGGTGGAATCACAGGTCACATGAAACCAAGTGCAGGGATTGACAAGAGTAGGGTCCCAGCTCTGCAACACATTGGTGGGGTCAGAAAGCCTTCTTCTTAAAGCATGCAAAGCATTTCCTGATGCAAGAAGAAAGCAACAAAATTTTCAATTTTGAACTCGCCCTTTGTTTTTCTAATAAAAAAAATGAAAAAATAGAGACCCTTTTATCAATAATTGTTCTAAAAACTTAAAATCAAAATCCCCTCTTGTATTACAAAATATTTAACTTTTTCAAAACAAGAGAAGGAAAGGAGATGGAAAACTGAAACCCAAAAGAGTAAAATCTTGATGGAAAGAAACTAGAGAGTGAGTACCTTCAGAGTTGGTTGAAGCAGCAGGGGAAAGAAGTGGAAGGAAATAACAAAGGAACAAGAAGAGAGGAGCCATTTCAGAGGGAGACAAAGAGAGGTAGAAAGGATGAAGAAAGAATAGAACAGAGAGAAATGAAGTAAAAAAGCGAAGTTGATGAAACTTGAAAGACTTGGGGGTTCTTTTGGCAGAGATTTGGAAAGGTGTGGGGTTAAATATTTGAGGAAAACTTCACACAATGGTCCCCACTTGGAGACTGACTTTGTTTTTTTAGAAGTTCTAAAATATAACTTGTTAATATAAGGTTTTCATTTGCTACTGATTTGTTCATTTACAGTGGTTAAGAAAACAATCAATGCCAGAAGATGTCAACAGCTGGGGTTTAATGAATCCATGGTAGATTTACCAAGCTTGTGGCTGCCTTTACTACACACCAAACAAAACGTAATTGTTATGGTTAATCAGCATTCATTATTTTGCAACCAAGAAAAATCAAATCCCTGCTGTGATTGTTGAATGTTTTTAATGCAAAGCAGGCTTTTACCAATTGAAACAAATACATGATTGAACAACACAACATGCCAGTTGCAACAGTACAATCAGAGCAGGTTATACAATCCTACAGATTCTTCTCAGAAGCTAAACAAGAGTATTCATTGCTCACAGTTTTCCTATGGAAGAAGATTGATCAAAACTGATACCATACATCAACTAAAAGAAGGAACTCTGCAATACCTTTGACAGTAGCTTTCTTTCTGCTTTTCCAAGTTATCCTCACATGCCATCTTGGATTTTGGAAGAAGGAAAATATAGAGCAAGAAAAAGTAAAAAGGGATAGGAAAGTTATATACATAAAAGGAAGCGACAAACATGTTCATCTTAAGAAAAGTAGTCTTTTCTTGTACAAACTGATACACATGAACCAAAAAAAAAGGGCTACCTATGGCCATGGCCTACTACTCCATCACGGTCTGCAACTCTGCATTCCTCCTCTTCTGCTTTTTTCCAAGTACCATGAAAATAAAGAACCAAACAAAATCCATTAAAATGAAAGAAACTTAAGGAAAACTAAATAAAGCATTCATGTAATTTGTTGAGAGAAGCTTGCCTTGTCTCGTTCAAGTCTGCAGATATGTGGCTCCATTGAGTTTCCTAAGCTTGCCTTATTCCACGTCACAGAACTCTCATCTCAATACGTGTTTAAGCAGCAAAAGTCACAAGTTTCCTTTTTTTATATCTGCAAGTTGAAGATCATTTTGTAATTTTTAATAATTGAGAGATTCAACAAAGTATTAACTTATAGTCAAGGGACTATTTGTGTACTTTACCTTAAAAAATTGACATTTAATATTTAAATAAATATCTAAATAAATAATTCTTTATTAAAATTATATTAATAGTTGAAAAACTTAATTAGAATATTTTAAAATTTAAAACTATTTTAGAATTTGGGCATATATTTTGGGGACTATGATACAATTACCAAGTCTAAAAATATCGATAAAGTTAAAATGGAGCGACTTGACTCACTCCATACATAAATCCTAAAAAAAGAAAGCCCTTCTCTTCATAAAACTTTATAAAAACATACAACCCAACGCTAAACAAACGAAGTAATAAGAAGGAACAGAAGACCATTGATATCAGAGAGGATTGATCGCAAAGGAGGATTGATGGCGACGATTATGTTGCGGTCTCTTTTGAGTCCTCTTGAACGTTGCCTCGGTGTGAGCGCCGGTGGGGATGGTTTAATGTGGCACGCTGACCTTAGACCCCACGCTTCCGGCGATTACTCCATCGCCGTCGTGCAAGCGAACAACAACCTTGAAGATCAAAGCCAAGTCTTCACTTCTCCTATGGCTACCTACGTTGGCGTCTATGACGGTCATGGTGGTCCTGAAGCATCTATATTTGTCAACAGACATCTCTTCTATTTTCTCCATAGTAATTGTTCTCTTTATCTTTCAATTTATTTTTTGTTTCTTTTTCTTTTGGGGAGTTTGGATGTGGAATATCATCTTATTTTCCATTTTGGGACAATGCGAATTTCTTGGTACTTTTTGTTTTTAGTTTATTGAATGTGGGTTTCTTTGCATTTGATGTGTTATTGCATGTGCATAGGATGAATATATAAATTTTGTCTATGGGGATGACATACCTTAAGTTATCAATGGGATCATTAAAATGCTTCCAATCTTTATCTATTTGTTGCATGCAAGTTTTATGGGTTTTTTTTTCTGTTCTTTTTAATGGGCAAAGATAATTTTGTGGTAAATCCCCTTCTTCTGTGTCGTTTTTAAACAGCATTTCAGGTTTGGGCACAACTTATTAGAGTTTGTAATGCATGTTTATTTTAGATGTTTGATAAATGCAATTGTGCATGCGATTACTATGAACCACTGGTCTAAAGTTTTATCTATATAGTTTGGATGGTAGACTTTATATTTCAAGATTCAAGAATCAATAGCACTTGCAGTGTAATTCGACTTTTAGAATCCCACTTTCTTGGGTTTTTTCCCATTTCAATAGATTGATGAAAAGCATTGTGAAGTCATTTGTTCTGACCCTTGATTCTGTGTTGCTTAATTGTAGAATTTGCTTCAGAACAAGGTGGATTATCTGCAGATTTGATAAAGAAGGCATTCAATGCTACTGAAGAGGAGTTTTTGCATTTGGTGAAGCAATCATTGCATCTAAGGCCTCAAATTGCTACAGTTGGATCATGCTGTCTATTTGGTGCTATTTCAAACGATGTGCTATATGTGGCGAATCTGGGCGACTCAAGATTAGTTCTTGGAAAGCGAGTGTCTAAGGGAAAGAAAAACATGGCGGTGGTAGAGAGATTGTCAAAAGATCATAATGTTGGAGTTGAGGAAGTTAGGAAGGAGGTTGAGGCACTTCATCCAGATGATTCTCATATAGTAGTATACACCCGCGGAGTCTGGAGGATTAAGGGCATAATCAAGGTACAGTTATGTTTTCAATTTGATATAGAAGAATTCAGGTGCTACTTGTTCTAGGAGTAGTCAATCAATTCAATCTTCTTTATTGTTTACGCATTTTTTTGGTGCTCGACAATGGATCAGCTCTGCAAAGCAGACTAGTATTTTTTTTAATGGAGTAGATTAATGCCATTCTTTTGTATCCCAAGGTATCGTTTGTTAACAGAACTTTTTACATTTTTCTTGAAAAAGCTTGTAAACTTTAGCTGTTTTGTTTTGCTTTATGGAGAGGAAAATCTACACAAATACATTGTGCATTAAGATGAAAGTTGCTCTAAAATGGGTTGTCCAGCTTTTCCAGGAATAATTTGGTCTGACTTCATGTACTGTCTCATGCAGCTATGTATCAAAAATAGTATGCCTCCTATGCATGAGATGAGGCAAATGCAGACCCCTGAAGCATAATACTAAGCTTATGTAATTACAGGGAGTCTTTCCTCTCTCTTTTTTGTTTTCTTTTTCTCTTTCTCTCTTGATGACTTCTTCCCCTTACTCTAGCAGGTCAAGCAGCTCTATGCTTCGTCCATTACTCAATTTTAGGGAATAAGATACATTAGCTTTTAAACTTATAGAAGACATGATTTTAAAAATGATGTAATGAATTATGCTGGTCTAAGCATTTGTATTTCTTATATCAGGTGTCAAGATCCATTGGTGATGTTTACCTGAAGAAACCTGAGTTTTATAGAGATCCAATCTTTCAGAAATTTGGAAACCCTGTTCCTCTTAAAAGACCTGTTATTACATCTGAACCCTCCATCCTTGTTCGGCAGCTTAAGCCCCAGGACCTATTCCTGATCTTTGCATCGGACGGCCTATGGGAGCAGTTGAGTGATGAGGCTGCTGTAAACATTGTTTTCAAAAACCCCAGAACTGTGAGTGAACCTTGTCAAATTTGTGGTCTCATTTATATCCCTCAAATCAAACTAAACTTATTCATGGCACTTTGGTAATGATTTTTCATTTGATTGAACACTTGCAGGGTATTGCAAAGAGATTGGTAAGAGCTGCACTTAAAGAAGCTGCGAAGAAAAGAGAGATGAAATATGCTGATATAAAGAAAATCGAAAAGGGAATAAGACGCCATTTTCATGATGATATAACTGTGATTGTTGTTTATCTCGATCAACATCAAGACTCCTGCAATAATAAAGTTAAGCAAAGCGCCTTGGGGTGCACGACGGCACCTGTTGACATCTATTCCTTCAATGCCAGATGCAGATGAAACAGATGATGATCTGTTTCAAACAATTTCTTGAGAAAAGTTTATTTGTGTACAGGAATGAAATGATGGCGGGATTGGTTCTCAAGAGGAGGGTCCATTTGAGAAAATATAGAGTTTGGAAGGTAAACTGAAGTCACTGAATGATATTAAGGTGGATGCTGATGGAAGCAGGCTGATATAGATTTTCCAAGTGAAGTTCTACCAATTTCAATTTTGCAGAGAAATGAGAGGCTACATTTTTGTATTGTTTTGTTCTGAATATTCATATAGCTTACATTCAGTGACTTCAATTTACCTTCCAAACTCTATATTTACCAATTTCAATTTTGCAGAGAAATGAGAGGCTACATTTTTGTATTGTTTTGTTCTGAATATTCATATAGCTTAAATTCAGTGACTTAAATTTACCTTCCAAACTCTATATTTTCCTAGTGAAGTTCAACCAATTTCAATTATCTTCTTATCTGATGAATGTTGATTCGTAGCCATTTTGTTTTTGTAGACGATTGCAGATAAATGAGAGGCTACATTTTGTATTGTTTTAATTCTGAACATTCATATAGCTTACAACTTGGGATTAAGAAATTAGGCAAGGATTGGTGCTGGGTATTGAATAGTTCTTCGTACTGCAACTTGGTAAAAATTTTGAGAGAGCAACTTTCAAGTTCATCATCTTCTCTCTCAGAGCACAATCTTATATTCAGATATTACTATTTTGTGTATATATTATGGTTGTGTGAAATTTAACCAAGAGTAGTTGGATATCTTTAAGCTATCCCAGCCTGCAGAATTTGGAATTTTTTATAGGTAAAGACCATACTGAGAAATCTCCTAGCAAATTTTCAGAAACTTGGGATTATTTCTCATATTGAAGGCGCTAAAAATATTGTTTGTATATAACAACACTACGAGTTAAGCAATCCAGAAACGAAACAAAACCCTTAAGAAGGTACTTCTGTACGCAAGTAGCAATGCTCAAAGCACTAGTAATACAGGGCAAAAGCATGGTTTTCTTCAGCATCCTTAACGAAGAGATAGACCCAACAAACAGTAGTTTTTACCTAGTTTCTGAACTCTCTCGGATTCATCAGAGAAAGTGAGGACTAATCAACCCATCAAATTCAAGAAACCCAATGCTATCTTTCCCTCCGAATATCTTCTTGAGCTTCTCATCACAATTTATCACCTTCTTGTTTTCAGGGTCCTAAACAAATGGCCCAAGGATCCAAGACAACACCAGTTCAGTTACAGGTTACTATATCGGTCTGCCTCATAGTACGAGTCAATTTCTACAACCACAACAAAGAGGACAAAGGAAAATTGAAGATCAAACCCTGGTAACTAAATTTCACAAGACCTTTCATTGCATTAAAAACTAAAATTTCATGCACCACTCACAAAGTTGTCAGTAGGGATTAGCTCAATTACAAATTCAAATGTCTCGCTGACATTTCTGAAGAAGAAAGATTTCTGGGCCATCAGCTTCCAACAAACAATTCTTGGTAGTAATCAGAATTTCAGAAATCAGAAGCATATAAAAGACATTGCATAAGTTTAACAAGTAATTATAATGAGCAGGGATGGACTGAATGGGGCTGGCGGGGCCATTTCTCCCTTCAAATTTTAAATTCTTGTATAATTTAAATATTTTCTTTGTATTTTCTACTAATAATTTATTTCAAGTTTTATAAGTTCACTCCCTAAATTTTATAAGCTTACCCCCAACATAAAATCCTGAATCTGTCCTTAATGATGAGTACCCCAAAGGTAGGCAACACAATTAACCCTGGTCGAGGCATTAAATTCTAGGCTTCAAAGCTTCCCTTTGATCCTAGAGGACTACTGCACGTCCTTGGCCAACATAATTAATATCCCAAACATATAGCTGCCATTTATTTAAATGCAATTTCTAGGCAATGTCATGTCATTGCAGAGTGTCACTCTACAGATATACTGAAGCATTTATTCACAATTTCATTTCCTTTTTTTGTGGATTTTCATCATTCATTATCAAAGTTTTATGCCACAACATTCAAGAATTCTCTTATAAAAACTTCTGCTTGACCAGAAGTGTTGCAATTTGCCGTGGCATTTGTGCATATGGGTGGACATTATCAGCAATGTCATCGTTTGTGCCAACACCAATTAAATCTTCTTTATAAGTGGGTGTAGCTTCTGTAGGGGTTTTTCCCTTGTCCATATGTTTGTGAGTTTGTTCTTTTCGAAACATCTTAAATTGTTATGACAATTTTGTCGTGTTCGATTGGAGCACCAATATAGACTAAAATGCCACACACATATAATAATTCCCTGAATCCTTATAGGATACCCTCAACAAATATGGTTCACCCGAGCACTATGCCCTAGCGGGTTAGTCACAATCACATAACTACTTATAGCTTCTAACTGGATTCCCAAATCTCTCACAAGTTTACTACTGACATAGGAATAAGTTAATCCCGGGTCAATCAATACCAAAGCAGGTTTATCAATTAATTGGAAAGTACCTGCTACGATCTCCGGATTATCACGATCTTCATTAGTCTTAAGGTTATATACCCGAGCAGTCACACGTACTTCCGGTTGAGTGGTCGATTCTGATTGATTCCTTTACCTGCCTCGTACTCTACCTCTCTGAGATACAGTAGTGGATCTCTCTGATTGTGCAGGCTCTCCAGTCATTAAAAGACAATCCTAGATAAAATATTCAGTGTCCCTACATATAAAACATGCTCCGAAGACCACTGGACATACACCACTATAATTTATGTCACAATGCTGACATTGACTTGGCCTTTCAGCTCCTGATTCAGTTGATTGAATCTTCCTAGCTCTCACAGGATTTGATTATCTGCATGAGGATGCAGCTGACTCAGATATATTTTAAGGTCAAAAACCTGAACCTCAGCTTCTTTTCGATTGTACTGCACTCGACGAGGCACTCGCTCTCTTAGTCAACTGGGTCTTTTGCTCCTCAAATCTTTCATTATGTGCTCGCTCTAAGGCTTTAGCTTAATTCACTGCCTCTTGAAACATAGAAAAATTCAACGCTATTAGCAACTTCTTCAATCTGGGGCGTAAACCCTCCACGAACCAATCACATGAATATTTCTCAGTCGGGATCAATTCAGCTGTAATCTGCTCAATTTATTAAACTCGCACTCATATTCATACACCGTATGACTCACTTGCTTCAAATTCATGAACTTCTGCTTCATTTTTCTAATGAACTGATCACCAATATCTTTGTTCATTATCTCTTCCAAAAAAGATGTGTAACATCCTAAAATAGGGTTAGTGACTAAAATACAAATTCTGAAAACTTTGTGCTTAATTTCAATATAATTTAAAAGTTCAGGGACTTAATTAGAAATATTTTGTGAATGATGGTTTGTAAAGATTGAAAGAAAGAAGGGTAAAATGGTCATTTGACAAGAAATATTTTTATCTTTCTTTTGTAGGCTATATATCACATGGGAAATGAAAGTTCAAGGCAAAATCTCTAGAAAACTCTCCCTTATTCTTCTTTCTTTTCACCGTGAGAGCCAAAGTAAATATATCAATCGAGGGCAAAGTCCGGACGAGTTACAAGTAATAGTCATCGAGAAGAGATAAGGGTTCGATATTGACTAGTGAGGTCAGGTGAGTGCATACTAGTGATATATGTTGTTTAATGGAAATAAGACTTGTGACAAGTCTATTTTCTATAGTAGTATGCATGAAGTCATGAGCATGATCATGTGTGTAATATGAGTATATATGTTAATTGTGATTATATGTATTACATGATTTGTATGTGTGCACAACCTCAAAGTACTCGCATACTTTAAGTTCTCACACTTGTACATGGGCTAATAAAGAAATAAAATAAATAAACTTGGTATGATGGTATGTGCGACCTTGTGAAATGATATATGCATTATATGATGTATATGTTGTTATGATATGAAATGTATTAGGTGAATCATATGAAGTTGTGTGTGATTGTGTGAATGAATCATATGATAGTTAAGAATGTTAAGTACAAGAATATATGACTAAAAAAAAATGAATGAATATAATAAAGATAAGAAAATGAGATTAATGATGATACTGACAAAATATGTGGATGTATACAATTGACTTTATGTTGATGTGATATTATTTTGTGTGATAACATTGATATGAAATTTCATGCATTGTTAATTAGTTAAAATTTCGTTATAAGTTTTATTATGCCTCACTAAGTCATAGACTTACCGTGTGAATGTTTCACACGTAGGTTACGAGAAAGTTAAGGAGCAAGACAGGCCAACCTCTCTTTTACTATGATCAGATTAGACAAGAGTTTTAAATCATATGTATTTTGTTATCGAGAGTAGTTGGCATGTACTTAATGTTTGAATTATATATGCTCTGATCAGTGTTAAAGATATTTTATTTGTAATAACATGAATTATGAAATTTGTATTTAATATAAGTGGAGACTTTTCATAGATATATATACAAGTATAAGTTTAAAAAGTTAATGTGACATTTCGGACTCATATCCGGGTTGGGTACGGGTTGGGGTGTTACATTTAATGGTATCAGAGCTAAGATTTAACCGATTCTAGGCTTAAATCGAAGTCAAATGAGTTTTAAAAATGTGTACATGCCAACTCAAAGTGAAAATTTCTGATCCAATAGTGTTAGGAGTATGATGTCTTACTAATAGAATAAGATTTGTATGATATAGTAAAAATTGATTATAAGAATTGTCGAAGTGAATCGATAGTTGATAAACCTGATGGTAGTAGTAATTCACTTGCCATGGCCAGACAGGATGAAGAGCAGACACCTCAAGAAATGCTTTGAAATAGCAAAGGTTGTTTTCAGGAAGTTGAAAATATATTAGAATAATGTTATATGGTCTCCACTGTTCTGAAGCGAAGAAGTTAGATGAAGTAGTTTAGCTACTATACGTATGAGTTGAAGTATAGTGAACATATGTTATCATGAGAATGATAAAATATTCAATGATGTGGTTATTAGTTTGGAAAAGTTCGATAATAAGTATCTCGGTGCTAAGTTCATAAGAAATATGAAGACATAGTTTATGAATTTGAAACAGAAGAATCGTAATGTGTATGGATA